CGGCATGCAAACTGACAGCATCTCCCACAGCGAAACAAACCCCTTTAGGTTGGGCATTTCCGAAAAAAAGGCCATTTTTCACAAACTGGGCAGCTTAGCTTTCTTCCCTACTGGGGGACTTCATCCTGTTCATCCCTACTGGCTTTCAAAATAGACACCCAACGAGGCAACGCTGCCACCAAAGTCCGTCCGCCTGTGGGCTGTGTTGTAAAATGGGAGGGAGGGACCTGAACAGGTCTTACTGCAAGAGCATATTCTTAAAAAATCTCAGTAGACACCTGATTACCTTTATGTTTTTTCACTGCTTTCCACTTCCCTGACTGCCGTTCAGCATGGACCTTCCCTTGCCTCCCTTTCCCCTCTGCTCAAGCATCAAGCTTTTCCGTATGCATCTTCTGCACCAGACCCAGCCGTAAGTTTGTCACAGTCCAGCCAGCCTTTTGGCCCCAGACATCCAAACCACACACTCAAGAACTGTAAGAGCTGAGAGGCACGAAGGAAAGGCCTGAAATGCTTCGGCATCTCAGCGGAGCATGGTGTTTGGGAGCAGGGGACCCTGTGCAGGACATGCGCTTCGGACAAAAGGGCAGCCAGATTGCAAGAAGTGGGAAGAGGCTTCGGCAGGGCAGAACGGTGAACCTCCAGGATTGCATCAGAGCTAGGCAAGCCATGTGGACTTCACAACACTGATGTCCACCACCAGGCCCCTTGCATGTATAACTACGAGCTGTACCGTTACACTGCACATCCAGAACCTGCGCCAAGAGAGGCGCGCCACGAGGTGCAAGTCTCCACGTGTGCCGACAGCCCTGCTGCAGAGAGCCGGAGCTGGACATTCCCCCGGCAGGAGACGGTCTCGGGGCCTGGCTTCCAGAGCGGTCCCCGACCACCACAGAGCAGCATCCCCGGTTCATGCCCACGCCTCCCATGTCCCTATAACCACCTCCAGCCCCACGCTACCAACAGTCAGGGAGAGCGTGAGGCATCATCTGCCAATTTTTTCCCTTGTACTAAAAAAAGAAAATCTGAAGGAAGTCGTGATTGTGGCAGACTGAAATCAACACTAGTTAAAGCAGTGGCTGCTGGTACTCCCTCCTGTTGCCAAGATATTCGTGCTCACAAACATTTGCATAACATGATTGATAAGATCCTGTGACTTAGGGAGTTTATAGTCCCTCTTGTCTCATTGCATGTAAATTATCGGCCCAAGCGGCTCCCCTGATCAGCAAAGGCTGCTTACAAAAAAGTTGCTTGCTTACTCAATTTCTGCAGGTAAGCATCCTCAGAAAACATTTGCCAATGTGAGCTTGAAGTACAAGCGTCCAAACGCCGCAAGCCGGCCCCCCGCTCCTGTGGGGCGGCTTTCCCTGCTGCTGCTTGCCAGGGTCGCACAGGACTGCCCAAAGCGCCCTCGCTCCACCACGGGGAACTCAGGGCCCCTGGGAGCCCGTACGCTCCAAGGGGCGTTGCTGGCAAAGGCGGACGCCCTCGCCGATGCCCGAGCGGCGGCGTTCGCTCTGTA